TACTTTTTGTTACACAAAGAAACCTCGGACGCATAATTTGTGTTAATGGGGTGCGTCATTTGAGGATAATTCTGATTTTGGACAACAAAACGGAATTAGAATTAACATTCAATGCAATAAAATCTTCCTTTGATTATATGCAAAATGATAATATTGCAAAGAAAATTAAGATAAGAAAATAACATACTGACATCATTAAAGTTCAGTGTTCTGCGCTTCTAATGGAAGAGAGAGAGAGAGAGACAATTGATTGTTTAAGAGAGATAAAGATTGAAAAAGAGTCTTCAGGTAGTAAAGGGAATATGATAATGACGTGACTGAGGAATTCGTATTAGTTTGTTGCACCCACCTAAACTAATTTTTGAATAAATAGAATCCAAAGCTGGGGGAAGGGGGAGTTGGTGCTCAACATCGAGCTCAAATTGTGTGCTAATTCGATCATAGACCAAACACAAATCTTCAAGGTCATTTCTTGGGAGTCCTTTGCTACATTACCTTCATAAATCCATCGACCTATATTACAAAAATTAACGTCACATCACAAGACTGAATTTTTTGCGACGAAAAATTAAAAGAAAGGATTTGTTTGTATCTAAACTAAAAGAAAATACATTCGACTTACAGATGTAGAGCCATTTTTACACTAATCAAAAGATTGGGAGCGTGATTGTAAATTTTCCAAGAAATAAAAAACAATAAACACAATCATAATCATGTGTGTTTGAGCTACACTATTTTGAAAAAAATGTATTTTGGAATAATAAATTAATGGAGAATGTGTGGTTGAAAAAGAAGAAAAAGTTATTGATGTGATAAAAAATATTATTTTATTGAAAAATATATGATTAAAAATGGAGAAAATTACCTAAAACCCTTCTTTTCAAGATTACAATTCAAAAATAAGGGAGATAAAGTTTACAATTCAAAAATCAGGTGGTAAATAGAATTATCAATTCAATTAATAAAAATTTAATTAAACCTTTATCTGCCTAATAACCCCTACCCCGATTAATCCCAAACCCAGCCCCAACTCTTTCTCCCTCTACCCAGTCTCTCTGTCTACCTACTCTTCCTTCCTTCTCTCTCTAGTCTCTACCACCACTCTGTCCATCCCCATCTAACCCCCTAGGGCGGAGCACAACCGTAGGAGAAAGCAGATGCCCGTAGCAGTTCGAACACCGGGTCCTGATTTGATCGATCGGAAAGAGCAAATAATAGGGAGTCAGGGCCGCCTGACCGGAGGGTGGAGACAGTGGTCTCGAAAAGCTTGCCTCCGACGTTGAGCTTCATGTGGTCGCTGCCACCGGGTTGGGTGGCGAAAGTATTGTTGGGAATTCTGCCCTCCATGTACAGTTGTTACAGGGACCCTATCGCTTGGGACTAGTTCGGGATTTTGGAATTGAAAATAGAAAAAGCCGTCGCTACAAATGACAGTTTGAGGATTTTTATACAATGCAATTTGGAGTTAAATTCGTTGCTACCCATAGTTGAGCAATCTGGAAACAAACTTTTGTACAATTCTGTTGGTGGCAACGATTTTTTGATTTGTGGGTGGTTTTTGATATGTGGTTTGTTGGTGATTCTATTAGTGGTATTTGTGGGTGGTTTTTGATCTTTTTGAAGTTTGTTATTTTTGGTGGTGTTGGCGGTGATGGTGGTAGTGGAGGTACAGGTGATGGTTGTGGCGATCTGAGCTCCGACGAGGTAGCGCTCGTGCTTTCAGGGCCAATTGAGGAGGCACTAGACTAGTTAGCCATCTGGGCTTCACTTGAAGGTAGAACTGTGGTTGCAGGGGTTGTGATTGTGTTTGGCTGGTTGTGTGTTTGAGTTTGGNTGATCTATAAGTGGAATGGTGAGGGTATTAGTTGTGGAGGAGGGGCGGCGGCTTACCCAATTGTTTGAGGTTCAGTAGTTGTTTGAGTTGTGGGGATTGTGTTGGTGGTAAGGTTAGTTGTCTTCTCATTCGTTTGACTGTGACTTGAGATTGACTTGGTCACATGCAGTCACACTCAACACAAATTTGATCACAGTTAGTCACATTGAATACACACTTGATCACAATTAGTCACATACAGTCACATTGAACACAAAAAAATTTTTCCAGCAATTTTTTTAGGAGGTGGAGGCAGGGGTGAGGTGGTGGTAGGTAGATCCATGGGTTGGGGGTGTGATTTCCAATTTTTAATTTTCTGAAAATTTTGAAATCGTCGAAGCGTCGCCGAAACAGTCGTCGGAGCGACCATCAGAGTGGTCGCCGGAGCAGATGCCGGAGATGAAGGGAAGGTGGTGTTGTGGGGTGGATGAGGTGTCATAGGATGTAAATAATTAATGTATATTATATTATATTTTAATATTTAATAAATTTATTTACCATCTGAGTTTTGAAATATTTTAATAAGTTTGTTATTTATGAAATGTAAACTTTAAAACTAGAAATTATGTATTGTTCCCTTAAAAATGAGTAGAAGAATATGAATGAAAGTGAGAATAAGATTCAACTCTAGGTATACAACTTGGACAAATAAAAAATTATTGATGTGATAAAAAATATTATTTTATTTACGGTTATTCGTTCTCCCCACTCATCCAATCCATTGAATTATTAACCGCACTATGTATATCACTGAGACGACTGTGGTAACGAGCAACTCTAGGTAGCATTTCCCAAACGAACTCTTCTCCATCAACTATCCCGAATCTCCATATGTTCCGCCAAATCCTTTTCCCTCAAGTCGCACACCCATTTTTGTTGTACAGGCTCCATTTTCATTGTGGTCTCTGGCTTTCAGTCTCTGAAAAGCATTAACCGATAAATGGCGACAAGGTTGCTCAGACGGGCAATAACTAGGGTTCCGGCTTCGGTGCCGGCGGCGAGAGTAATCCTAAATCGGGTCCACTCGTCGGAGGCCAAGGCCCAATTAGTGGAGCCTAGTTCAAAGTCCACCAGCTACATCAAGACCTTCCAAATCTACAGATGGAACCCGGACAGTCCTCAGAAGCCGGAACTGCAAAACTACGATGTTGACCTCAAGGAGTGTGGCCCAATGGTCTTGGATGCCCTAATCAAGATCAAGAATGAGGTCGATCCTACATTGACATTCCGGCGAGATAAAATTGAAAGCTGAAGGAC